TGAAGCCTGACTTATCGTAAGACATCTTTCAAAGTGCTACAGAAGGAAAGGGCAAAAAAAAAATATTTCAAAGCAAAACCGTGGTCCTAAAGATGCAAAAAAAATAAAAATAAAAATTGCAAAAACTATTCAACTGGTCTGACCTCTCTATAAAAATAATGGAAATATCTATTTGATAACAACTGAAAACACAGAATAAAGTTTTCATATTCCTGGAATCAAGCAGCATGCTAATGTTGCCTGACTTAGTTTTAACACAGCATTTCAATTTCTTTTGAAGAGTAATTTTTTCATTCAGAAAAAAATTCCAAACAAAATAAAGGTTTATGTCACTGAGCCCCTAATTAACCACAGAATTTTAACCAAGTCTTGTAGAGGGTGACACTGTGTAGATTTGGTCCAAACAAGAATGAAATCAAGGATGAGAATCGTTAAAGACAAATAAATATCATGCTAAAAAATTCAACATGGAAAAAGAGAAAACATTTAAATAAGTGCCTTGTTAACCTTCCTTAAAAAAATTATTTAAGAATTAGACTTTCGCTTTAATAACATAAAGCTACATAATTTTTAACGTTTAATCAGGAATACTTTCATAATAAATTTATGTCAGATCATAATTTCTAGGTTAATGTCAAGTTGTCATAACAAAGACATTTTGAATCATGTCAACTTTGTATTAAAAGTGACATGATTTACCAAATGACACTTTATGACAACAGTCATAAATATACATGAAGACTCACTTATGTTCATGATGTCATGTCATGTTTATATATATTTCTGCGCACCACCACAAAGTGCATCTCTTCAGCACTTTCCCAGCTTTCTGGTGGTTCTGCGCTTGGTGCACCATTTGCCTGATTCTCACTGTTGAGAGACATTTGAGTCTCTCAACATGTTCAGAGCTCTGTTCCTGCTGCCACCCAGAAATAGATCCTGCACAGAGAGAGAGGCCCCAAAGATCAGTGATCCGCTCAGCTCCCCTCACTATCCTGCGCAGGCCACTCTTATCTGCCATATGATGCCACAGTACGTTAATCTAGAAACTCTGCAGTGATGCCCAAAATCGGTAACAGTAAATAAAAGAAGCAATCATCTAACTTGCAGGAGATTCCCTGATGCAACTTCAGTGGGGTTGAGTCAGTGGGGGATTGTCAGAGGAAGACAGGCCACAAAAGAGTTATGTGGACGAGCTGAGGGTCAAAATTAAAACAACCGCGTCTCCATGAAGCCTGTGCTTCAGAAGAACCGCAGGCTGATTTTCTCCATGCTGTGCTGCATTGATGCAGTAATTCATGCGAAAAGAGGCTGGATAAGTAACAACCCTGAGAGCATTCGTTGTTCAGTACAAAGATAAGTTTCAGTAGCCTTACTTTTTTGTATTGAAATCTTTTTTTTTAGTTGACAATTTGTCACATTTTAATTTTCTGAAAAACCAAATTTTGGGTTTTCTTTAGCTGTGATCACCAAATCATCAATAATAAGTGCTTGGAATGTATAACTCTTTGCTGTAATTCTATAATAGAAGCTCCACTTTTTGGGAAAAAAATACAATTATTTAACTGAATTACATTTTTATGACATTCTAATTTATTGCAATGCGCCTGTTACTTTCTGTGACTCATTTCTAAATAAAATTCAAATCCCGCCTTATAAACAAGCATGTGGGCCATCAGAATCTGTTGCTAAAATGGAGTATATCACCTAAATATAGCTATAAAATATAAAAAGCAAGTGACCAATGGCAAGTATCAAGACCAAAAATAAAGAAGGAAAAATAGGATGATCAAAATCAAAAAGGGGAGCAGACATGTGGTCATTTATTATATTTAGAGGTAATAAATGAATCTCTGCATGAGCCACATTATTGTCTATTTCTGGGAGGCACAACAATAAACGGTCCTCCTAAAAATAATAGGGCGACAAATTATTAGCAGAGATAATCTGTGTAAGTGTGGATAACAGCTCCATCTCACTGCCTCACACACTTATCAGACAAACAGCATGCAGGCGCAGACACACTCGAAAATGCGGGTTCAGACACACACAGTTTGAAATCCCGAGAGGTTTGGTCTCAAACTGTACATCTGACGCAATACTTAGCAACATCCCCTGCAGACAGCCACAGTGTATACCTCCAGGATTCATCTGTTGAAGAATAACGCCAGGTCCCCCTCTATTCATACAGCCTGCTGTGGAGAGGAAACTTTATATTTCCAAATGGGATTTTGTACACATATTTTTTTATTTGTGTGACTTTAGGTGAAACCTCTAGCAGTGCGGCTGGCCGTCGGAATAAATGAATCACAACCACATTCATACCATACTTGGAATCAGTGATAAATCAAGTAAAGGAGAAGAGCTGTGCAGAGATAAAGGTGCCTTTGAGATCTTCTCATCTTTCTCTCTTTTTTTCATTTTCCTGAAACTTCTCACTTCTGCTTTCGACAAGATCAGCCACGTCCCTTTTAGAGCATGTGGTGAAGCTGTCGGATTCAGAAATAGCCCGCATGGTCAGTGTACATGTGTGAGAGCAATTGTTCACATTGTGCGTCTTTATAGCTACAGCCTTATCTGCGTCTCAGCAGAATAAGGGTTACACCTTTACCTTCCCACCAGCCCCCAACTTGTAACAGAACAGACAGGCCTTTGTAACAAAAGTCGCAGGCTTTAAGTGTGTCAAGGTGCTTGTGGTTTATCACTGTGTTTATGAAGAGCACGTAAAAACAAACTAATTTCCCTGAAGTTGGATTCAAACGAATGGAAAGGAACTTGCTATAACACTTTGGCAGAAAAAAAAGAAGTTTGTCTTATGAAAAAAAACAACCTCTCATCAGTCATGCTTTTTCTGCAGAGGTGAGAGGATTCACAAAAAAGCTGAACAAAAATCAAAAAATGAAAAAGCATGTTTTACAAAATAGGGAATATAATCCAAAAGAGAGAGCTCTGTTGCCTGCAAAGTCTTCAAGCTTCAGTGTAGCGTGCAGCGAACAAGGTCCCATTTTGAACAGAAGAAATTCTAAGAATGCCCGAAGTATTCGCACTATTTATTTTGTCTCTCCTCAGTTTAAATGCTTTATTCTACCTGCAGTAGATAATGCATTGTCCTGTTGAAAAGACCAGCAGTAATCTTTTAATCACTTCACCAGGAGAGGATGGCTGTTCATATTACAGCATAAGAAGTAGGCTAATCTAAAAGTAGACTGGAGCCTTTTATCATATACACACATTTATGTGCTGATTACTTTTGCACGTTGTCAGTACGCACAGTAAGATTATGTGTAGTTTGAGTGAGTTAAATCACGCTAGATTTCAGGAGTCCACAGAAAGTGACTAAGAAATGTTTTTGTTAAACTTTTTTTTTTTATTGAGATTATTACTTATAATATTTTCTGTGCAAAACCTCCTCTAACTTCAGATTTTTATATTACAAATTTTTATATTACAAATTTGTATATTACAAACCTGAAGTTACACAAGCTGAGTTGAAAGCCTGATTTTGCGCTACAGATGTGAGGTTGTTATTTTTTCCCCAAATATATTTATTACAGTTGTTTATGACCTGTAATAAGCAAATACATACACTTTTGGTTGAAGACATCCGTTCAAAGGAAACATGAAACATCTCCCTTTTTGTACACGTTGTAAAAATGTGTAAGAAGTTTTCTTGTTTTTCACAGAAGCATCATCTCCTTAATTTGTCAATTGGTAAACACAAAACCTTTAACGTGAGTATGTTTGATAGCTGGAAAGAATTGTGGCACATGAAAAAATATATACATATTTTTTTCTGAAGTCACATCTAATGGCTTGCTATCAATTCCTGTAAAATAAATGAAAGCATTTTTTTGTTGACAATACTTTACAATTTAGGTTGGTCAGAGAGTAACCTTCAATTACAACACATGTCTTACTGTTTTCTTTGTTGAGAAATGTGACATGACTCAGGGGCCCATTTCTCTTGGCCACTCCTAACATTGGGAAAGGCGGGAGAACATGTTCCTTAATTTACACTATTTTTTGTTGATCTTAAAGCTGAAAATGCTGAAAAAAATTAGCTTCTGGACTGCTCACTTTGGTTCAAATTAAAACTTGAAAAGTTTAAAACATCCAGAACTGTGATGAACGAAGCTTGCAGGGAACAAAGGTTAATGACACGAAGCACAGCAGGGAGGATGGTGGGAGAGGTGAGAAACATGTCCGAAAAAGAAGAGAGGTTTTGAGCCCATCACGGCGAGGGGCTTTAATTTTGTGGCTCTTGTCTGGACACTCCAATCTGCAACTTGTTGAAAATGGTGACAACCAGCATGCCTGTGCAACGTCACCTGGAATAACAATCAGGAAACAATTATTTAAGGAGGAAAACATTTATAGAAATTTTGCCAAGTTTCTCAGGGACATTTTTGGAAAGGACAGGTGATGCAATTGCAATAGGATTTATAAAAAGCTTATTATAAAAGGGCCCCTGGGGCCGTTATCCTCATAAATGTGGCCCTGATAACAGTGATAAAAATGTATTGTATTTCTACTGAGTTTTTTTATTATTATTATTTCTATTAATAAAACACTTACCAGGACTGAGTACAAGTGTTGAGTGTTATTTATTTCATCTTCAGTGAAAACAAATATAGATGAAAACTGACAATGAATAATAATTTAGATGAAGGCAAACAAAATAATGATAAAAGTATTTAAGCAGAGCAAATTCTGCTTTATAGTAGCCTATTAGTTTATTTAATGACAAATGGGTTCATATCTATCAGCTGAAGTTGTAATCCTCACAAGACAACAAAGTAAGCTCTTTTTATCAGATGTAGGACATGATGCTCAGTCCTGTCACTGTTTGATGGCTCTCTCTCCAAGACATTGTTTCCGACGTTCCAGGAGAAAAAGTCCATTGTTGCCGCGAACTTTTTAATCTGGCGGGGGGGATTTAAAGCCCATCACATGCTCAGTCAGAGCAGCGGGGCGCCCTGCCACTCAGCTGAAATCCATACCGAGGAAGAAAAGTTTTCCTCCGGACAGGAACGTTTCCTGCGCACCGCAATGCCTGCCCACGGCGCAGGAGTGTAGTGGAGTCCCACTGGACGACGGGAAGCTGCTCTTTCCGCACCTTCTGGAGCCAATTTCAAGATGAACGCGACGCTCAAGTACAGCCAGAGGTCTCTAATCGTTCTGTCCTTCCTGGGAGGGCTGTCGGCCATCATGACCGTCTTATCGGTGATCCTGATATTCCAGCTGCAGTCCCACCAGGCGGCAGCGAAGGAGTCCGCCGCCGCCGCCTCCTCCTCGGTCATACCCGCGCCGGTCCGGCCCGTGCTGCTGCCCGTCTCCACGGTGCTCTCGGCGCTGTCCCTCACCCTCAACCTGAGCTCCGTGGTCGTGAGTCTCCTCCACAGCTACTTTTCCACGGAGGTCTGCAGAGGGGAGCAGGACACCGAGAGGTATTTCGGCCTGGTGCAGCTGAAGCAACTGGTTCGAGGAGCAGCCAGTTCCGTCCAGTTGTGACGCAGATTGGAACCAGAATTTATTGCTAATTGGAATATTAATTAAATTCGTTGAGGGGTTTACGAACTGCTTTGAAAATGGGAGGTTTACGTTTCATTTTTTTTGGTCGCTGAGGAGTAAAATTGTTCAATTTATTGACTGTGTTAATAAACTGAACAAGTCTTACTGGCTGTTTTTGTTTTTAAACGAAAAACTTTCCTTTTAAAAGTGTTTTAAGGTGGAAATGTAAAAAAAAAAAAAAAAGACTTACAATTCTGTATCAAAAGTTGCTGAATCTTCTGGGAGCTTAAATAGCTCCCAGAAAGGTTGACATTAGAACCTTTTGGATTTTTGTCCTCCACATTAAGATTACATGAGGAAAGTTGTAGTATCGCTCCAGGTAACATTCCCAATAAGTTCTCTAATTGCATCGAGACATGCAGATTGACCTCAAGTTGTGGAAGCTGTAGACACAATTTGGGGAACCAGCACAGTACTCAGAAAATCCTACAAAAGTTGACAATAACCCCTAGAATCTAACTTGGAGCTTCTCCAATGTCACCTTTTGAAAGTCGTAGATTATTATATTCTGTGCAAGTTCAGTGTGCATCAGTATGGAAAATCTGATTTTTTTAAAATTTTTCTGTGAGGGCCACTTGTTACAATCTTATGAAAACATAATTTATTTAGGGTCAGTAAGGTTAGTTTTTGCTCGGAAAAGTCTTGGATGCTGGCCGGCTTGTTCTTTAGTTTTCTGTTCAGTTCCAAAAAGAATGTTCTCCGAGGTGAAACTGTAAAAAATTGTGAGCGTTCTCTGAGGATTCTTTAAAAATTATTTCATAGAAAACTCAGGTGACCTTCGGGGGAACTTTTCGGTAACGTTCCCATGGCGTTCCTCAACGTAAAAGTTGTAGATAACATATAAGGAACCTTCAGCATTATTCCCCTTTACACCCCCACGTTCACTGTCAATGTTGAAACTAACCTTTCAGAAACTTTCTCTAAAGGTTCCCTGAAGGTTAGAATATCACTTAAGAGGGAATTGTCTGAATGTTTTTTTTTTCAATATGACTCTTCTGTTTTCCCCTTTGGGTTCTAGCAAGGTTAGTATTTGCTTGGTACGGGTCCGGTATGCCAGTGTACCCTCTTAAAGGTTACCTATGAGTTGAAGAAAAACTTAAGATAACATTCAATTAATGGTTCTTTCTTTTATGCGCTTGTTTTTTTTTTTTTGAAAGTTATGGCTTTAGGCAACATTTACTAAATGATATCAGAAGCTTATGTCTTTAACCTACGGCCAACATTTTCTGGCAGTTCATTGAGGTTTATACCTGGTCAAAACTTTGGGAAACATTCCTTGAAGGTTCTAGTGAGGTTAACACAAGCTTGGATAAGTCTGAGATATTATTTTTAATCACTATTTTGTTAGTTAGTCAGGTACATAAATTAAACAAACACATTTTTGTGTTTGTTTAATTCAGGTATCATTACTTAGATTTTTTCACGGCTTTTGTAATTTTTGAAAAGAATGTCCTATGCAAGGCAAGTCCTTGGATTTCATCACATATTTTAATTTTGAGAAAAGAAAGTATTTCTGCTTCACATCCTACATTGGTTCCTCTTTTCTGTGCAAAACGCTGTTGCTACTGGTGGGGGGGTGGGGTGGGAAGCTGTTTGCATGTGTTTCTCCTTGTGCCCACACAATCTTCTTTCGTTGTTAATGCTACTAACCACAGCCTTGTCCTGGATACTAAATTTAACTATTAGGTTTTTGTGTAAAGAAAACATGGTTTCAGAAGTACACACACAAAAAAAAAAAATGGGGCTAGCTTATGTGTCAGAGAGCAAAGGCCTGCATTGCAATGCCTTTGGTCAACAGCCCCCCCCCCCCCACGAATCCCATCTAAACAATGGCCTTCCTCTTATTGTGCACCCAGCACATGGCCTCGCGCTGGCCCTTTCCCACGTCGGTATACTAATTCAACACCAAAGCCTGGGACCTCCCTGCTGACACAAGGGGGCATTCCAGAAAAAGGGGAACTAATAACTAGTCTCACAATATGCATATCAAATAAACACAAATACCCAGTAATCCCAAGATTCTGACAACACAAACTTCTCTGGGAAAACAAACACATGAACACAAAGACATTGCTCTACTTTTATTAACCAAGACACCGATTTCAAAAGTGAAGCATCAATGTGAAAGTGCAAACATTCTCTAGGTGCTGACATGGGATCTCTTTCAACAGAGCAGACTGGTTCCTTCTGGACAGCAGAGCTGTACGACATGTGGCGATTGGACTATTCTGCCTGGGGGTGTCTGTCTATTTGGCAGGTAGGAACGACAGACGAAAACAAAACAGTACATTTTCACATTTCTTTCTTAACCAATATTTACTACTAAAGCACTTCATAGACACCTCTTTGTAGCTAAAGCATCCACAGCAATGTTGTGTTAGTTGGTGTTTTCAGCAGCAGAGGCATACCAGCGCCGCTGCTTTTCCTCTAATCCAGCCGTCCAGTTTCAGAGAACAATGCATTCTTTGAGCAGCCATGACTTAAGAGTTTCTAATGCTGAACCTGGCAGTGCTGGTGCACCCCGCTCCACAGAGTAGCGAGTTACTTTAGCAGAAGGGTGGTGGAGGGGGCGTCACTTCATTGTGTTGGTTGGTTGTCTGCCCTTGATCCCACTTCAGCCACAGTCAAATGATTGGGAAGGCCAACTCAGGAGGCCTCTTTACATCCCAGAGTTGTGCCTTTCTGCCCCTTCCTTCAACATTCCTGGGTCTGTGGTCCGTTTCCTGCAGGCAAATAGGATATCAATGAGACGAGCAGCGTTCAGTATGTGTTTGGTTTACAGTTATCTGTGTCTCTAATATTGTCATTAGAGACACAGACAGAATTAAAATACTGTCTGCACAGGTAAATCAAGTTTTCTACGACGTTCTCTTCTTTCTCGACAGCAATGTCCATTTTCATGCTCCTGATGTTCGAGATGGAAACGGGCATCGCCAGCGCCTGCATACTCTCCTCTGGGATCCTGATTCTGCTGGCGGCGGTGATACACTCCCTGGTCAAAGCTTCCCGAAGCGCCACGCACTACAAAAGCGACCTAGCCGACACGCTCTATCAAAACGACCACGGAAGCAGCAGCGTGCCCGTCTCACGGCCCTGTGAGCTAAGAGTCGGCTTGGACAGACCGCGGATTCACCGCAGCCAGTCTCATCATATGCAGCAGCCGATCTCTTACCCAACGTGTGGCAACCTCAGGCAGAGGGAGCATTATCAGCAGCAGTACTCCCCCACCGAAGGCTCTCAGAGCCACTCCAGCGATAAAGATGGATACAGCGCAGGAGGGAGCTGCCCTCGAATGCACCGGACCTTGTCTACTGAATCTGGCTTACTACAGGCCCAGGTGAAACCCTGGAATGGAGTCAACAACGAGATGAGGAGCGTTTTAGCACGCAAATCAGGGATTTCAGCAAAAGACTCGACGCTTGTGTGAGTGGACATTCTTTTCAGAGGAATTAGAGAACTGATATCTGACTGCAAGTTAGTGGAGCAAGTGAACCCCCACCGCAGAGGGAAAGCTCTTTGTTTCTTCAGTGTGCAAATGGGAAGTTTATCTTGTCTGGGTGCATTCAAAATGGCCAAGTTTAAGATATACAGTCACCTTAAAACACGATCCACCAATCTGAATAACACAGGTATTGACTAGTGTAGATGCTGACAGTAACTACTCCTGGTTTTACAGGACTGTGTAATTTACACCACATATTGAAACAACAATGCAATTGCTTTTATATAAAACAAAAAGCCACTAGATGCAACATTATTATAGCCATAGATGTTAAAAATACCAGCAGTTCTAAAACCGGGGTCACGACCCCAGATGGGCTGCAAATAAATAAGTTTGATTTCTGAGATCCTCCTCAGGAATTAAACAAAATTCTAACATTTTTCAGGAGTTGTCAAATACATTATTTTTTTAAAAAATTGGGCATAATTTGTCATTTTTTCCTCTTTTGCAATTTACAGGTGAATAACATGCTGATAATTACAATATGCTCGAGTAGCCAGCCTGCAGGTTAAATGTCATGCTGCTTGTAGATTGACCACTGCATATTGTGGCACTGTATTCAGTTTCAAATCATAACTGGTAATGCTTTTTCATGTAGAAATTTAACTGAAGTATTTCCAAAGAGCCGTATTTGTCTTTCTCTGAAGTGATGGAAAATATGGGAAATATTAATTCAGCTGACCAGCGGTACACAGTGAAATTTAAATTATAGGAACAACTTTAAAACCTTGATGTTGTTGACCAGACCAACAAAATGAGCTATAGTACACCGACTAGATATTGAGCTGGCACATCTGTGAACTTTATCATAATACAGTCCTGCGCCGTGGGCAGGCATTGTTTTTATGTTAGAATTGTGTGCGTGGAGCGATTGCATTTCTTGACGTGTTAAAAAATATTTTACGTAGAACCTTAAATAAACTGTAGCAAGGAAGTACTTGTTTTTTTAAAACATATCTTCTAGATATATCTAGAACTACTAACCTTGGACACATGTGCCCAATGTTCATGAGGAAGCAGGTGAGTTTTGTGGAGCAGGAACGGAGGGAGCAGGAGGTGAGGTCACATCATTTTGACTGCATGCAGGTGTTGATGGGAGAAAATGAGCAATGAAAACAAATAAACAGGAAAACAAACAATGAAACCGAAAAGTGGTTCAAAATAAGCATAAATGAAAATAACAGCAAAAAAAAGTAATATGATGCAAATTAAAAAATGAAAGCACAACATTATGTGACTGTCAATTTCTTTACCTTATTAGGAAATCTGGACGAATAAGGCAAAATTATTTGTATAAAGATGGACACTCAAAGCCCAAACTTACATGGGATGCAAACTTTGTAGCAAACATTTCAATGTTTGCTACAA